AATGTGGCCGGGAATTGGAATCACAATGTAAAAATAGTGGCCCGAATTGAGGCACTTCATTAGGTTTACTCAAAACCTCTGTCACAAGTGGGATTCGAACCAAGTCCTCCAAGGGAGACTGCGATCGGAACGCAGCCAAGTCGCAATTTTAATGTGAAAATTGGCCGTAATTTGGCCACCTCTTGCGGAATATCTGGTCAATGTGAGTCGCACAAGTCTAAACGTGAGATTGACACAGGACAACTCACTCTCTATATCCCCTTCGAATCACAATGTAAAAATAGTGGCCCGAATTGAGGCGCTTCATTAGGTTTACTCAAAAACTGTCAGAAGTGGGATTCGAACCCACGCCTCCAGGGGAGACTGCGACCTGAACGCAGCGCCTTAGACCGCTCGGCCATCCTGACATGGAATTTACAAGTTCACCAGAGTTGATCGTTGGCTTGAATTAAAACATCAGTGGCTTCTTCTGCACAGATGCCGTGTTGTCCAAGTGTAATGTGCCATTGATTGTGTTGGGGAGTGTCAGCAAAATCCCTCTTCTCCCCCGTCGGGGAATTGAACCCCGGTCTCCCGCGTGACAGGCGGGGATACTGACCACTATACTAACGAGGAATACAAACAAATTGAGCATTCCTCGTCATGAGCAAATACTTTCAGTCCTACAATTTTAAATATGAGGTTGAGACATGACGGGATCCAAAACACCTGTAGAAACAGGCATTGGTGGTTCAGTGGTAGAATTCTCGCCTGCCACGCGGGAGGCCCGGGTTCGATTCCCGGCCAATGCAGCATCTGCTTTAGCACACTTAGTGGTAGAGTTCTCTTCTGTAGTGAGGGTGGCCGGTTCCGATTCCCCGGCGAATGCAGCTTCCGTCACATTGTGGCCGGGAGTCGAAATCACAATGTAAAAATAGAGGCCCGAATTGAGGCACTTCATTAGGTTTACTCAAAACCTCTGTCAGAAGTGGGATTCGAACCAACTGTGATCTGAACGCAGCCAAGTCGCAGTTGTAATGTGAAAATTGGCCGTAATTTGGCCACCTCTTGTAGAAAAAACTGGTCAATGTGAGATTGACACAGGAAGACACACTCTTTACCACAGCCAAGTCGCAATTGTAATGTGAAAACTGGCCGTAATTCGGCCACCTCTTGCGGAATATCTGGGCAATGTGAGATTGACACAGGAAGACACTCTTTAGATCCCTTCGAATCACAATGTAAAAAAATTGGCCCGAATTGAGGCAGTTTATTAGGTTTTCTCAAACACTGTCAGAAGTGGGATTCGAACCCACGCCTCCAGGGGAGACTGCTACCTGAATGCAGCGCTTTAGACCGCTGATGGCCGGCCAATTGAGCCCAGTTGTTTGATCGATTAAGAGGTGTAATGTGAAAACTGGCCATAATTCAACCACCTCTTGCGTAATATCTGGTCAATGTGAGTCGCACAAGTCTAAACGTGAGATTGACACAGGACAACTCACTCTCTATATCCCCTTCGAATCACAATGTAAAAATAGTGGCCCGTATTGAGGCGCTTCATTAGGTTTACTCAAAAACTGTCAGAAGTGGGATTAGAACCCACGCCTCCAGGGGAGACTGCGACCTGAACGCAGCGCCTTAGACCGCTCGGCCATCCTGACATGGAATTGACACGTTCACCAGAGTTGATCGTTGGCTTGAATTAAAACATCAGTGGATTCTTCTGCACAGATGCCGTGTTGTCCAAGTATAATGTGCCATTGATTGTGTTGGGGAGTGTCAGTAAAAACCCTCTACTCCCCGTCGGGGAATTGAACCCCGGTCTCCCGCGTGACAGGCGGGGATACTGACCACTATACTAACGAGGAACACAAGTGCATTGAACATTCCAGTACCGAGGGAGGCCGGCCAATGCAGCTTCCGTCACAATGTGGCCGGGAATTGGAATCACAATGTAAAAATAGTGGCCCGAATTGAGGCACTTCATTAGGTTTACTCAAAACCTCTGTCAGAAGTGGGATTCGAACCAAGTCCTCCAATGGAGACTGCAATCTGAACGCAGCCAAGTCGCAGTTGTAATGTGTAATTTGGCCACCTCTTGCGGAATATCTGGTCAATGTGAGATTGACACAGGAAGACGCTATTTAGATCCCTTCCGAATCACAATGTAAAAAAATTGGCCCGAATTGAGGCACTTCATTAGGTTTACTCAAAACCTCTGTCACAAGTGGGATTCGAACCAAGTCCTCCAAGGGAGACTGCGATCGGAACGCAGCCAAGTCGCAGTTTTAATGTGAAAATTGGCCGTAATTTGGCCACCTCTTGCGGAATATCTGGTCAATGTGAGATTGACACAGGAAGACACACTCTTTACCACAGCCAAGTCGCAATTGTAATGTGAAAACTGGCCGTAATTCGGCCACCTCTTGCGGAATATCTGGTCAATGTGAGATTGACACAGGAAGACACTCTTTAGATCCCTTTCGAATCACAATGTAATAAAATTGGCCCGAATTGAGGCACTTCATTAGGTTTGCTTAAACACTGTCAGAAGTGGGATTCGAACCCACGCCTCCAGGGGAGACTGCGACCTAAACGCAGCGCCTTAGACCGCTCGGCCATCCTGACATGGAATATGCACCTTTACTAGAGTTGACCGTTGGCTTGAATTAAAACCAATAAAAACATCAGTGGCTTCTTCTGCACAGACGCCGCGTTGTCCAAGTATAATGTGCCATTGATTGTGTTGGGGAGTGTCAGCAAACTCCCTCTTCTCCCCGTCGGGGAATTGAACCCCGGTCTCCCGCGTGACAGGCGGGGATACTGACCACTATACTAACGAGGACCACAAACTAATTGAGCATTCCTCGTCATGAGCAAATACTTTCAGTCCTACAATTTTAAATATGAGGTTGAGACATGACGGGATCCAAAACACCTGTAGAAACAGGCATTGGTGGTTCAGTGGTAGAATTCTCGCCTGCCACGCGGGAGGCCCGGGTTCGATTCCCGGCCAATGCAGCATACACTTTAGCACACTTAGTGGTAGAATTCTCTTCTGTACCGAGGGAGGCCGGCCAATGCAGCTTCCGTCACAATGTGGCCGGGAATTGGAATCACAATGTAAAAATAGTGGCCCGAATTGAGGCACTTCATTAGGTTTACTCAAAACCTCTGTCACAAGTGGGATTCGAACCAAGTCCTCCAAGGAGACTGCGATCGGAACGCAGCCAAGTCGCAATTTTAATGTGAAAATTGGCCGTAATTTGGCCACCTCTTGCGGAATTATCTGGTCAATGTGAGTCGCACAAGTCTAAACGTGAGATTGGACACAGGACAACTCACTCTCTATATCCCCTTCGAATCACAATGTAAAAATAGTGGCCCCGAATTGAGGCGCTTCATTAGGTTTACTCAAAAACTGTCAGAAGTGGGATTCGAACCCACGCCTCCAGGGGAGACTGCGACCTGAACGCAGCGCCTTAGACCGCTCGGACATCCTGACATGAAATTTACACGTTCACCAGAGTTGATCAATGGCTTGAATTAAAACATCAGTGGCTTTCTTCTGCACAGATGCCGTGTTGTCCAAGTATAATGTGCCATTGATTGTGTTGGGGAGTGTCAGTAAAAAAACCTCTCCTCCCCGTCGGGGAATTGAACCCCGGTCTCCCGCGTGACAGGCAGGGATACTGACCACTATACTAACGAGGAACACAAGTGCATTGAACATTCCTCGTCACAATCAAATAACTTTCAGTCCTACAATTTTAAATATGAGGTTGAGACATGACGGGATCCAAAACACCAGCGAAAAAAAGGCATTGGTGGTTCAGTGGTAGAATTCTCGCCTGCCACGCGGGTGGGCCCGGGTTCGATGCAGCATACACTTTAGCACACTTAGTGGTAGAATTCTCTTCTGTACCGAGGGAGGCCGGCCAATGCAGCTTCCGTCACAATGTGGCCGGGGAATTGGAATCACAATGTAAAAATAGTGGCCCGAATTGAGGCACTTCATTAGGTTTACTCAAAACCTCTGTCAGAAGTGGGATTCGAACCAAGTCCTCCAATGGAGACTGCAATCTGACGCAGCCAAGTCGCAGTTGTAATGTGTAATTCGGCCACCTCTTGCGGAATATCTGGTCAATGTGAGGATTGCCACAGGAAGACACACTCTTTAACGCAGCCAAGTCGCAGTTGTAATGTGAAAACTGGCCATAATTCGGCCACCTCTTGCGGAATATCTGGTCAATGTGAGATTGACACAGGAAGACGCTATTTAGATCCCTTCCGAATCACAATGTAAAAAAATTGGGCCTGAATTGAGGCACTTCATTAGGTTTACTCAAAACCTCTGTCACAAGTGGGATTCGAACCAAGTCCTCCAAGGGAGACTGCGATCGGAGAACGCAGCCAAGTCGCAGTTTTAATGTGAAAATTGGCCGTAATTTGGCCACCTCTTACGTAATATCTGGTAAATGTGAGTCGCACAAGTCTAAACGTGAGATTGACACAGGGACAACTCACTCTCTATATCCCCTTCGAATCACAATGTAAAAATAGTGGCCCGAATTGAGGCGCTTCATTAGGTTTACTCAAAAACTGTCAGAAGTGGGATTCGAACCCACGCCTCCAGGGGAGAACTGCGACCTGAACCGCAGCGCCTTAGACCGCTTCGGGCCCATCCTGGACATGGAATTTACACGTCACCAAGTTGATCGTTGGCTTGAAATTAAAACATCAGTGCTTCTTCTGCACAGATGCCTTGTTGTCCAAGTGGAATGTGCCCATTGATGTTGTGTTGGGGAGGTGTCCAGCAAAATCCTCTATTCTCCCCGTCGGGGGAATTGAACACCCCGGTCCTCCCGTCGTTGACAGGCCGGGATACTGACCACTATACTAACGAGGAACACAAACAAATTGAGCATATCCTCGTCATGAGCTCAAATACTTTCAGTCCTCACAATTTTAATATGAGGTTTGAGACCATGACGGGATCCAAAACACCTGTAGAAACAGGCATTGTGGTTCAGGGTAGTGGTAGAATTCTCGCCTCGCCACGCGGGAGGCCCCGGGGTTCGATTCCCGGCCAATGCAGCATCTGCTTTAGCACACTTGAGGTAGAGTTCTCTTCTTACTGAGGGTGGCCGGTTCCGATTCCCCCGGCGAATGCAGCTTCCGTCACATTGTGCCGTGGAGTCGAAATCACAATGTAAAAATAGAGGCCCCGAATTGAGGCACTTCATTAGGTTTACTCAAAACCTCTGTCAGAAGTGGGATTCGAACCAACTGTGGATCTGAACGCAGCCAAGTCGCAGTTGTAAGGTTGAAAATTGGCCGTAAATTTGGCGCACCTCTTGTAGAAAAAACTGGTCATTGTGAGATTGACACAGGAAGGACACACTCTTTACCACAGCCAAGTCGCAATTGTAATGTGAAAACTGGCCGTAATTCGGCACCTCTTGCGGAATATCTGGGCAATGTGAGATTGACACAGGAAGGACTCTCTTTAGATCCCTTCCGAATCACAATGTAAATAAAATTGGCCCGAATTGAGGCAGTTTATTAGGGTTTTTCTCAACACTGTTCAGAAGTGGGATTCGAACCCACGCCTCCAGGGAGACTGCTACCTGAATGCGCGCTTTAGACCGCTGATGGCCGGCCAATTGAGCCCAGTTGTTTGAGTCGATTAAGAGGTTGTAATGTGAAAACTGGCCCATAATTCAACCACCCTCTTGCGTAATAATCTGGTCAATGTGAGTCGCACAAGTCTAAACGTGAGATTGACACAGGACAACTTCACTCTCTATATCCCCTTCGAAATCACAATGTAGAAAATAGTGGCCCGTATTGAGGCGCTTCATTAGGTTTACTCAAAACTGTCAGAAGTGGGATTAGAACCCACGCCTCCAGGGGAGACTGCGACCTGAACGCAGCGCCTTAGACCGCTCGGCCATCCTGACATGGAATTGACACGTTCACCAGAGTTGATCGTTGGCTTGAATTAAAACATCAGTGGATTCTTCTGCACAGATGCCGTGTTGTCCAAGTATAATGTGCCATTGATTGTGTTGGGGAGTGTCAGTAAAAACCCTCTACTCCCCGTCGGGAATTGAACCCCGGTCTCCCCGTGACAGGCGGGATACTGACCACTATACTAACGAGGAACACAAGTGCATTGAACATTCCAGTACCGAGGGAGGCCGGCCAATGCAGCTTCCGTCACAATGTGGCCGGGAATTGGAATCACAATGTAAAAATAGTGGCCCGAATTGAGGCACTTCATTAGGTTTACTCAAAACCTCTGTCAGAAGTGGGATTCGAACCAAGTCCTCCAATGGAGACTGCAATCTGAACGCAGCCAAGTCGCAGTTGTAATGTGTAATTTGGCCACCTCTTGCGGAATATCTGGTCAATGTGAGATTGCCACAGGATGACACACTCTTTAACGCACGCCAAAGTCGCAGTTGTAATGTGAAAACTGGCCATAATTTCGGCCACCTCTTGCGGAATATCTGGTCAATGTAGGATTGACACAGGAAGGACGCTATTTAGATCCCTTCCGAATCACAATGTAAAAAAATTGGCCCGAATTGAGGCACTTCATTAGGTTTACTCAAAACCCTCTGTCACAAGTGGATTCGAATCCAAGTCCTCCAAGGGAGACTGCGATCGGAACGCATGCCCAGGATCGCAGTTTTAATGTGAAAATTGGCCGTAATTGGCCACCTCTTGCGGAATATCTGGTCAATGTGAGATTGACACAGGAAGACCACTCTTTACCACAGCCAAGTCGCAATTGTTAATGTGGAAAACTGGCCGTAATTCGGCCACCCTCTTGCGGAATATCTGGTCAATGTGAGATTGGGACACAGGAAAGACACTCTTTAGATCCCTTTCCGAATCACAATGTAATAAAATTGGCCCGAATTGAGGCACTTCATTAGGTTTGCTTAAACACTGTCAGAAGTGGGATTCGAACCCACGCCTCCAGGGAGACTGCTACCTGAATGCAGCGCTGTAGACCGCTGATGGCCGGCCAATTGAGCCCAGTTGTTTGATCGATTAAGAGGTGTAATGTGAAAACTGGCCATAATTCGACCACCTCTTGCGTAATATCTGGTCAATGTGAGTCGCACAAGTCTAAACGTAAGATTGACACAGGACAACTCACTCTCTATATCCCTTCGAATCACAATGTAAAAATAGTGGCCGGAATTGAGGCGCTTCATTAGGTTTACTCAAAAACTGTCAGAAGTGGGATTCGAACCCACGCCTCCAGGGGAGACTGCGACCTGAACGCAGCGCCTTAGACCGCTCGGCCATCCTGACATGGAGTTGACACACTCACCAGAGTTGATCGTTGGCTTGAATTAAAACATCAGTGGCTTCTTCTGCACAGATGCCGTTTTGTCCAAGTATAATGTGCCATTGATTGTGTTGGGGAGTGTCAGTAAAAACCCCTCCTCCCCGTCGGGGAATTGAACCCCGTCTCCCGCGTGACAGGCGGGGATACTGACCACTATACTAACGAGGAACACAAGTGCATTGAACATTCCTCGTCACGATCAAATACTTTCAGTCCTACAATTTTTAATATGAGGTTGAGACATGACGGGATCCAAAACACCAGTGAAAACAGGCATTGGTGGTTCAGTGGTAGAATTCTCGCCTGCCACGCGGGAGGCCCGGGTTCGATTCCGGCCAATGCAGCATACACTTTAGCACACTTAGTGGTAGAATTCTCTTCTGTACCGAGGGAGGCCGGCCAATGCAGCTTCCGTCACAATGTGGCCGGGAATTGGAATCACAATGTAAAAATAGTGGCCCGAATTGAGGCACTTCATTAGGTTTACTCAAAACCTCTGTCACAAGTGGGATTCGAACCAAGTCCTCAATGGAGACTGCAATCTGAACGCAGCCAAGTCGCAGTTGTAATGTGTAATTCGGCCACCTCTTGCGGAATATCTGGTCAATGTGAGATTGCCACAGGAAGACACACTCTTTAACGCAGCCAAGTCGCAGTTGTAATGTGAAAACTGGCCATAATTCGGCCACCTCTTGCGGAATATCTGGTCAATGTGAGATTGACACAGGAAGACGCTATTTAGATCCCTTCCGAATCACAATGTAAAAAAATTGGCCTGAATTGAGGCACTTCATTAGGTTTACTCAAAACCTCTGTCACAAGTGGGATTCGAACCAAGTCCTCCAAGGGAGACTGCGATCGGAACGCAGCCAAGTCGCAGTTTTAATGTGAAAATTGGCCGTAATTTGGCCACCTCTTACGTAATATCTGGTAAATGTGAGTCGCACAAGTCTAAACGTGAGATTGACACAGGACAACTCACTCTCTATATCCCCTTCGAATCACAATGTAAAAATAGTGGCCCGAATTGAGGCGCTTCATTAGGTTTACTCAAAAACTGTCAGAAGTGGGATTCGAACCCACGCCTCCAGGGGAGACTGCGACCTGAACGCAGCGCCTTAGACCGCTCGGCCATCCTGACATGGAATTTACAAGTTCACCAGAGTTGATCGTTGGCTTGAATTAAAACATCAGTGGCTTCTTCTGCACAGATGCCGTGTTGTCCAAGTGTAATGTGCCATTGATTGTGTTGGGGAGTGTCAGCAAAATCCCTCTTCTCCCCGTCGGGGAATTGAACCCCGGTCTCCCGCGTGACAGGCGGGGATACTGACCACTATACTAACGAGGAACACAAACAAATTGAGCATTCCTCGTCATGAGCAAATACTTTCAGTCCTACAATTTTAAATATGAGGTTGAGACATGACGGGATCCAAAACACATGTAGAAACAGGCATTGGTGGTTCAGTGGTAGAATTCTCGCCTGCCACGCGGGAGGCCCGGGTTCGATTCCCGGCCAATGCAGCATCTCTTTAGCACACTTAGTGGTAGAGTTCTCTTCTGTAGTGAGGGTGGCCGGTTCCGATTCCCCGGCGAATGCAGCTTCCGTCACATTGTGGCCGGGAGTCGAAATCACAATGTAAAAATAGAGGCCCGAATTGAGGCACTTCATTAGGTTTACTCAAAACCTCTGTCAGAAGTGGGATTCGAACCAACTGTGATCTGAACGCAGCCAAGTCGCAGTTGTAATGTGAAAATTGGCCGTAATTTGGCCACCTCTTGTAGAAAAAACTGGTCAATGTGAGATTGACACAGGAAGACACACTCTTTACCACAGCCAAGTCGCAATTGTAATGTGAAAACTGGCCGTAATTCGGCCACCTCTTGCGGAATATCTGGGCAATGTGAGATTGACACAGGAAGACACTCTTTAGATCCCTTCCGAATCACAATGTAAAAAAATTGGCCCGAATTGAGGCAGTTTATTAGGTTTTCTCAAACACTGTCAGAAGTGGGATTCGAACCCACCCTCCAGGGGAGACTGCTACCTGAATGCAGCGCTTTAGACCGCTGATGGCCGGCCAATTGAGCCCAGTTGTTTCATCGATTAAGAGGTGTAATGTGAAAACTGGCCATAATTCAACCACCTCTTGCGTAATATCTGGTCAATGTGAGTCGCACAAGTCTAAACGTGAGATTGACACAGGACAACTCACTCTCTATATCCCCTTCGAATCACAATGTAAAAATAGTGGCCCGTATTGAGGCGCTTCATTAGGTTTACTCAAAAACTGTCAGAAGTGGGATTAGAACCCACGCCTCCAGGGGAGACTGCGACCTGAACGCAGCGCCTTAGACCGCTCGGCCATCCTGACATGGAATTGACACGTTCACCAGAGTTGATCGTTGGCTTGAATTAAAACATCAGTGGATTCTTCTGCACAGATGCCGTTTGTCCAAGTATAATGTGCCATTGATTGTGTTGGGGAGTGTCAGTAAAAACCCTCTACTCCCCGTCGGGAATTGAACCCCGGTCTCCCGCGTGACAGGCGGGATA